CGTATATGGTCAACATATTAACTTGGTGAAACCCTTAGCCAAGTTTGTATTCTTGACCAAGTTGGTACAAAAACTAATTCGAATTTGACATTGTCTCCAAGTTAGTATATGAATAATGTAATCGAGTTCTCATACTGACTTAATTAACTCAATTTATTAAAAATGATAAAATTAGAGATTTGTATATCAATTCAATTTACGTGTTAGAAATTAATAATTTTTGTCAATACGTGCATGTTTTACAAAATGCCTAGCACTACATATTCAATATAGTGAGACAATTCATATTTTATACAAAGATTTGTTAAATTAAGGAAAAGGTTGCCTAATTCTAACTAGTTCTACATGGACAAAGTAACAATTCAAGATGGTTCAGTTAAAGAAATGACTAAGTTATGTTAACCAAAAAATAGATGGACACAAAAACTAATTAATTAATTAAAAAAGTTATGATTAATTAATAGCATATGTTCATCTTCATGGGAATAGCCACCTTCGATGCACACAAATTAGTAGGTTCCAAATAAAGTCAAAGTGAAGAAGTAGGAAAAAAAAAGAGAGTGACAATCACACAACTCTATAAGTATTCCTTTCGGAGGTTATATTAATGAAGGAGTAATCTCTAATAATTACATCATTTTCAGTTTCTTTCAAGTCTTCAATTTGTGCAAGAGCTTCCTTGATATCTAGCCTTCTTTCCACATTTGCCACCAATGTTTTACTCAAAACATTGGAAAAAGAAAAGGTTTTTTAAAGTTCAATAATGGCCTTGATAACTAGAATTAGGTTCGGGGGTCGGTTACGTGTAGGAGAAGGTATTAAACACCCCTACAACGCCCTTAATCGGTACCCTATGACGAAGTTAACATTATAAACAATAATAATATAAATATTAAATCCCCTTTTATTGGTGACTATTTACATGTTTGAAATTTAAATTAAACAATTGACTCTAAAATATCTACATGATTGCTTTTATTATAACAATACTTATCAAAGATAAGAAATAAAAGAGAAAGAAGAAGATTGATTGAAATACCTCGTAGCAAGCTTTGTTAGATCTTCCAATATGGAAATTCTAGGTGCTTTGTGGCAACCTTTCACATTACACAAATGCCTCACAAATTTCAAGAAATACAATAGGAGGGAGAGAGAGAGAAATTTCGAGCTCTAAAGAGTCTAAGAAGAAATTTTGTGGTCCTGATAACTGTGCCCCAGCTATCTATTTATAGACGTCAAAAAGTTGCCAGAACGGCCCATTCCAGATTCGAAATGGCCCGTTTTGGATCTGTACATTACGTGTTAATTTTGCCTCCTGGAACAACCCGTTTTGAAACCAGAACGACATGTTCCAAAGTTGAGTTTAACACATAAATGCTTATGCTGGAACGGCCTGTTCCAAACTACGGTTTTAGTTTTTTTTTTTTTAATTGGAACAGCCCGTTCCAGTTTTGGAACGGCCCGTTCCAAACTAGGGTTTTAGGCCTTTTTGTACCTTGGAACAGCCCGTTCCAGTTTGGAATAGCCCATTCTAGGCTACTAAAACCAACTTATTTGGCTTTATGCTTTTTGATGTCATGTCCTGTTGTTTCCATGCTTCAGGAGCTTCTTTCCTTCGATAATGAAAGTCCATTTCCTTGTTTGTATGCCCCCGGACGAAATTGGGTGTCTACAGGTCTAAGCATAAAAATTACTACTCTCGAGAACCTGGGCAACTTGTCTCTTATGTTGATTTGCAACCCAATAGTCAAGTTTGTCATGAAGATAGATGAATAATCATAAATTTTTTGAGTACTTATCTAAATTCGCAAATGAGTATTTACAAATGAACTTCCTCCACCGTACCAATATTGTGGAGTTTGGCATGGAGGACCTTATAGAGGTTCAAAAACCCCAGGAGGAAGATAAGGCATGTCAAGAAGCTAATGACGATGAAGCCTACTTCTTCTCCATATATGGTTTTTCAAGTCATTGAATGTCTGACTATCTTTTGACCCATTCACCATTAGGGTGTTGTCATTTCTCAATGTCACCCCAACATAGTTTCATCCCAATAGTTGGGTTCTTTTGTAAGCATTCCAAATTGTCTGTAAGACATTACACATAGAGTCCACTCCAGTAATGTTTTTACATTTTTTACAAAACAAGGTCAGACATTATGTTGGGGTGGCTCTCTTTTGTCTGTCGTGCTCAATAGGTGTTGTTCAAGTCATACACCGCATCCTTCAAGAACTTCAACGATAGATTCTTCAAGGTTTTACCATTTTCAAAGGGTGCATCATTCTTCATGGACCCAATTTCCAAGAAAGAGGAGCATTTGACTCCTAAATTTCCTTTCTATAGGATGAGAGAACCTTTAAAGCACAAAGATTGGAAGTCAGAGTTAATGAGTCCTCAAGAGTAAAAGAACTTTAAAATAATTAAACTTTTTCCTTTACCCCTAGAAATAATGAAGATTTTAAAGATCTCCATTTTGTCACATGATATATATATATATATATATATATATATATATATATATTAG